CTGAGAAGCTGTAAACAGTCTTCTAATGATGCATGCTGTTGCTTTGATTTCTTTTATTTTTCAATCCTGCAATTCTAAGCAACTATCGCTTTATCTTAAAGCTTGATTAAAGCTGATCATGAGTAATCCGACACGCGCTATGCATGTTACTCCTGAGGGGAACAAATGGATTATTCAAGGGCACACTGGGAAACTTTTGGAGAGGGTCAGTACTGAATGTGCTCTGGGCTTCTCAGGAGCGTGCAGGCAGGCTGCCCGCGGGCCTGGCAGGCAAACTGGGCAGGGGAGAAACTTGCTGAAGCAGGATAAGTCTGCATCTCTGTAAAAAGCAGAAAGCAAACGGGAACATTACCCAAGACTGGAGTTATTGAAATTTCTTTAGTCTTATTTGTTGCCTATTGTCATCTGCTGCCCCTCCACCGTATCTCTGATGATGAAGGTGACTATTGTCTCAAGGAAGCATCACAAGAACGGTGATGGTACCCACAAGCAGAAAGTACTCAGGGGAACAGCAGCTGAGTGTCAAGTTAGTAACTGGTTACCACTGGAAGGGACACCAAGTTCTTGGTACATTATGGATTTTCTATACCTGACCTGTGACGGATCTGTAAACTCTGTATGTTTGTTCTGTGTTAGCTGAAGGCTACTGCTTTCCTTACTCTGAACTGCTGTAGGCAAAATCTGCTTTTTTAGTTTTGCAATTCTGCTTTTTTGTTTGCAATTCCAAAAGTACTTATAGTGTTTTAATACTTTAATACGATTTTCCAATTAATACGGTTTACTTTTTTGCAAACACCTTTACAACAAACTCACTACACAGAAAACTAAAGCTTGCTGTAAGCCAAGTACCTCAAGAATAAAACCTTATTGGGACATTCCTTGAAGTACCATCTCCCAGAAGGAAGATGCACAGCAGCCCTGTGCCAGAGCATTAGCAGACAGATGACACTTGCTCCTATTAAATGGTTTGGCTGCCTCACTACAGTTCTTGCTTCATGAAATGATTTTTCAAGAACCAAAACTATCATGAAAAATATCAACTGGGCAAGCATTACTGACAGCTACAGGCTGATTTACACTGGTAATACACTGAAAGCCACAGATGAAAGGATAGGAAGTCTGCAGACCAGTGAAAAGGCTTTTATCACTGTCAGTGCCACTGGTTTATAATCCCTGGAAACCCGAGACACAGTGTTGATGAAAGAGCATTGCTGTAAATGTCTCACATCTCTCATCAAAGCTGTCTTCTGAATCCAACAAACGCTGGCTACGGCACTGACAACTCTCCCGTATAAAACCAGATAATCGAGCTGTAGCCCACAGCTGCTTTTACAGCAGGGATGTAACAAAGTGAGATGGGGATTTATGAAGAACCTCTAAGACACCAAGCATCATCTCCGGCTGAATGGTACCAAAATACTTTATTCATGTTTATTGTCCAGTTCTGTCATCAGTGGAGGCCTGTCAGCACCGAGTAGGGCTGTTCACACGGGACTGGGCTGCTTCAACACTTAGACTCTAGGAAAAACGGAAATCACACAGGAACCAAGAGAAAAAGACTTTCTACCACTGTTAAGTCGTTGCATCCCATTTGTGGAAAGACCAGCAAACAGCACATAGGTTCTGCAACATTACCAGTGCTCCTTGGCTACTGAGAGCACAGGCTCAACCACACCAAGGTAAGCAACTACACCCCACAAATGCCCACACAATTACACCTCCAAAAACGTAAGGGAAACAACACTGTTGTTTGCACTTAACATTAGATTTGAGAAGGATGTTCTTTTTAAAAAATGGGTATTACCAGCTTCTAGCAAGACTGGAGACTGCTTGCCTGTCTCCATGAGCAGAAAGTCATAGGATCAGTTGTATGTGACCAGGATGGATGACTTCTGTATGCAAATATTTGAAAATACATTTACTATGCAGCAGGGAAAAAAAAAGCAGAATTAGTTTTAAACCAGCAACACAGTGCTTTGGTAGGCTCATCAAAGCCCTGCTTTTATGATTTTTAGCTTCTTCCCAACTTGCCCATTACTACAAGTTCCTAAATGGTAATTCTAGCAAATACCTAGATTCAGGTTAACACACGATTTATAAATTGGAATGAAAATTGCCTCCTATATCCCTGACAATGGCAGTAATTCCAGCTCTGACAGAGCTCTCTACACTGGGAAAACTTGTACCTTTCTTTCAATGTCTTCAGGGTGTGATGCCTTCAGCAGTTGTGTTAAAACAGGACAGCTACACAACCATTAACAGAATTTGGGATGCTGGTGTTTTTGCTGCTGCACATGTACACAGATGATGTGCATGAGGATGTAGCACATCCCACTAACCCAATGTGGGGAACAAAGAACAGTTAATACTAGAATACATCCTTTCACTAATCTCTGCTGAAAAACTAGCTGCAGTTACACTGGAGAGTCGCTGCTAAGTTTCTACAACTGCTTCAAAATTTTCGAGCAGGAGCTTACAATTTGTTTTGTGGTTTTAGACAGCCACCTATCGGTGAGGAATGAGCCGTTACTCCTTTTAGCCTGACTGCTACCCCCCCAGTATAGCTGCTGCTCAACGCTCCCAGAGCTCAAATTACCTCAGGCTGGTACCAGACAGGCCAGATTCTGCAAGCAGCAAACCTGTCCCTCCCCTTCGTCCTTCTGAACGTCTCCTGTTCCAGCTCCACCGCACCAACAGCCTAACGTGCCGAGCTGCTTTATTTTGGCATCTCTGGTGCACTGCTGGCACTGGGACTCTATTTAATCATGATTTATTTTTTTTTACAGAACTGAACTGCATGACCTTGATTCAGCACTAACAGGCCTAGTGCATTAATTGTTTAATTTTTATCCTAGAGCCTCATTCTTGTAGATTACTGAAGCTTACTACTTACTTTAAAATAACTACTCGCCCTATCTGCCACAGTTCAGAGAAAAATCCAGAGAACCAACAGCAGCAGGTTTGTTTCTGTTTCTTCCCTCGGACACAGATCAATGCAGCCAGCGCTACTTAGTTTCAGCGTTTTCCCATTACTGCTGAAGGAATTAATACCAGTAAATTACTTCCCTAATAGGCAGATTATAGCTCTCTCTCTCTTCGTCCTGGGGATTGTTTTTATTCTCCTCTTGGGAACATCTGAAAAAAAGCCATAAAAAAAAATTAGTGCTCTTGATTTGACTACTTGCTCTAATAAAACAAGGAATAGATTTGTTACTCCTGTACCAATAAGCCTAGAACATGCATTCCCCAAGACACACTCACGGAAAACAAAGGAAAACTTGTGACTATCCCCCACAGTGAGCCATCATACGCTGACAAGCAGAAAATGCTCAGAGCAATATCACAAAGTACACAATTTTAACCTGCACCATTTTCATCAGTTTGGACTTACTTGTCTCTGGGCAGAGGACAAGAATATTTGCAGTTTTAGTCATCCGAGAACTTACACAGCCTTCTACCAGCAATACTTTTCCTGAAGCAGCAAGCTTTCATTGGCTGTTGGCAGTATTTTGTGTTTTTTCTGCGTGAGCTTATTCACCTTTACTAAGCGGTACCCTGTGGACAACCTGCATTTCTGGAATTCACTTCTCCACTTATCCATTCTGCCATTTGTCTACCTGCATCTCATGGTACCTCCCAGGTAGGTCTTCGGAAAGCTCTCCCCAAATTTAGGAGAGTGCAGTTATGAGTCATTTTATTTTCATGCAAATTCTACATTTCAGCCAGCATTATTTACGAGTCCATTTTTTTAACGGATGTAGAATTTTTCCTATGCAGCAGCCCAATTTTGCTGCATTAGGAACCTCTTCGACATGCATTTTTTTTTCTTCTCAGCAATGCAACGAAGAACCACCCATATGGCAGCCACATCCTTAACCTTAGTTTTCCAATGACAACAGCAACAAATCACTACGCAAGACTAGTAATTGGGAACTCAGTGGCACTGCCCTTGAGCGTCTCCAGAGTAACTTTCCTTCCCTCAGC